CAACAATTGTTGTACAAATTACAATGGAACCGGCATGACGAGTGCTGGGCAGTCCAGGCCTCGTTGTGGTTTGTACAATTCTCGTTGTACTTTCTACAATCCCTGTTGTACTTTTATTGTACAGTTTTTGATGTACTTTTGTTGTACTATTCACCCTTTTTCTTCTTCACTTTTTCTGAGTACACACTTCAGTTTGTAGAGTTTTCACGACTTTCACCAGTTAGGGGCTCAAAACTGCAGCCTTTATGGGGCTGCGCACACTGCCTAGTTTTGAACCAAATTGGTCGATTTCCACTTCCACCCTCTTCGAAAGGCGCGATGGTGCCCTCGTAACGAGGACGAGGCCAGCCACCGCATAAAGCAAGGAGCAGCCCGGCGGGAAGTTTAAAGTCTTATCTTTCAAGGACTCGTGGGGGAGTTAGCCCCGAGACTCATTGGGGTCAGTGGGTTTACTTGTCAGATGGTCTCAGAGCGTTGTCAGAGGACAGGGAGGGGGATGGGGAGGGGAGGGGAGGGGGAGGGGGAGGGGGAGGGGGAGAGGAGGGGAGGGGGAGGGGGAGGGGCCAAGGCCCTCGCAGGGGGCGTTGGCCCTAGTCTGGCACCTGGGCAAGGGCCTAGAACCTTGCGAATGCGCACGGTAAAAACGGTACCTGGTTTTCCCAGGAAGCCTATGGTAGAGACATAGGCGATTTCCAGGGAGTTTCTGGGAAAACCAGGAACCGTTTTCACCGTGCGTTGGTAAGCTTGCGAAGAAACTGACTTGTTCGTACGAAGACTTTCGAAAGTAGGAGATCTCCGCTTTACAAACCGCTAGTTCGCAATTTACGTAATTTACAAAGAACGTGCTTGCATTATGAACTCTGACGAGTTCGATGTTTGCAAAATTACGGACTCACAGCTTGCGAAGCCACTATTATTCGCAAACGACGTAATGCGACCGAATTCTTCGCAAACTTTGATGATTGCACCGGCATATTAACTGAACATTTGTGTTTATTTACTACTGAAGAGATATGTTGTTGACATTACGTATGCCAAAAAGGATGGGACTGATTTTGGGCCGTCCCAAATCAATATCGTACGCGCTCTGACGAAAATACCAGAGTAGTTTTTTCACAGCGACAAAGTAGTTGGCGGCGACCTTCGCAGACCACGGGGTGGCGTCCAGGTATGGCCCGGCTCGCGGCGGGGGCGGAGCGGGGCGGCAAGACCCCCAAAGCGGCGACCGGCGGGGCTGGCGGGGCTGGCGGGGACTCGACCCCTTCGGGTGAAGGTTGACCACCCCTTTAACACATCCGTCTGCGGTCTGCGTGAAATGTAGGTCAGGACGAAGGGGCCTGGCAGTCCAGCAGTGCAGCGCGCGGCCCGGCGCGGCCACCCCAAAGAGCCACGTGGCCGCCGGGGCACTGCCAGGGCACTGCCAGGGCACTGCCAGGGCACTGCCAGGGCACTGGCCGCACGGCGACGGCCTTGATGACGGTCTTGACGACGGCCAGCCCGATGTGACGTCCGACACGTCATTAGGAAAATGTGAGGGGCGGAACTTGGAGACGGACAGTGCAGGACACTAATGCACAGTGGGCCAGAAGGCCAGCGGTGATGGCTTTGACCTTCGAACTTTCAATCCTCCGCATACCTGATTTCTCATACCGGATCCAGATATTTCTACTGCTTGGGGTTCCGGTTCAGATCCATCTGAAAGGCCTATAAACGTTGTGTAGTTTTCAAAGCATTTTGAGCATTCGTACTCTACAAACGTATATGCGTCTATAGATGCACTTGCAAGTACACAGGTGTGTACAGATGCATACTCAGCTGAGTACACGTCTACAGATGCATACTTGGATGAGTTAGGTATGCATCTGTAGGTGTGAACTCAGCCAAGTATGCATCTGTAGATGTGTACTCAGCTGAGTATGTATCTGTAGACGTGTACTCAGCTGAGTATGCATCTGTAGATGTGTACTTGCAAGTATGCATCGACGCATACTGAGTACACACTTCAGTTTGTAGAGTAAGCTTCGCAATTTGCGAATTCACCTTGTGTAGACAGCTCGAAGGCCAAGCAGCAGAAACTTGTAATTGACATTGCATCAGAATAATTGTTTTCCCCGCCGACTTGTTGTGGAAGTTGTTGCTAACTGCGCGCTGCAGTTCCGTTTGCAGCAATATCCCCTCTCCTTTCCCCAGGAAACTTTCACCTTCCTCCCCCGCCGAGCCCTGCAGGGCCCCGCCGAGGCCCCGCCGAGGTGTGCGGTGGCGCTGCGTGGTACGGCCCTGCCGGGCGCCCTGCAGGCGAAACAGTGCGATCGGGGGGAGCGGGCTTTACGACTGGAGTGATGGCAGGGGGAGGGGGACGGCATACGCACGCACGGACGGGGGAAAATGCTTTATTCTTTACGAAATAGAGGCACCGAGCGGAACGACTGCAAGCAAGCCGGCTCTAGTCTAGAGTTGCAACATCTATCCGTGCCATGTGTACCTTTTACCAGTGGCGTGCGCAAAGGGGGGGGTCATGAACCCCCATGGGCACAGCCACCTGGAAGGTAGGCAAATTGCGCCATATTTCCCCTTGTAAGGAGGCAAAAGGCATGGCCAGACACTCCCCCCCTCCCTTTTCAAAATTTCTGCGCACGCCACTGCTTTTTTTTCGAGCTTAATCCAGCCCTGGTCAGGACAGAGAACGCCATCCTGGAAAAACTCGTGGCTTGCGCTCGCGCTCCCCTTGTTCACCCTCTGCTGGGTCTCGACTCGGCGGGCGGCCGCAAGCTGGTTGGGGATTTATGGTGAATTTCCGCTGCTCAAACTCGGACTGCTCCTAGCTCAAGGTGAGGGCGGGGGAGAAAGAGAAAAAACCCCATCTGCATTTGCCTGCTGGAAAATAAGACTTTATTCGGCCGTTGCTGCCTTGGCTTTTGGGGCGGCGGTACGACAGCACGGCGTCCGACGGGGACGTGCCCGAGGGGTGAACCACTCAGCGTTCTGATCGAGGTTCTGATGTACAGAGTACGGGCGAGTACTCATAAATTTCACATTGTGTTTCAGACAAAACGCAACACCAAATCTTACTTCAAACTAGCGAATTTTGTTGTTTTTAAACTTGTGAGTACACTTAGTGCGGCCCAATTTGTACACATGAACGCAAGTGATTCACCCCTCGGACGTGCCCGCGGTGCAGGTGCAGCACACAGAGGGGCCGCGCCCTCTCGCTTTTTAGCGCTTTTGTGTAAACCCAAAAGACCAATTAATCAAATATAATCTCTCGAGGACGTTGGTGGACTTTCTCACCGGACAAGACACTAATTGCTGAGACGAATAGCGGGGCGGGGTGGTTGGGCGGGGCGGCGAAAGTGGTGGATGGCGCTGCGCTGCACGGCGCGCCACACAGTGATGTGCCGGCCGCACGCGATGCAGTCCTTGCTGGTGGACCCGAAGGTGGCGCCGTATCGACGTCGCGAGGCTGTCCAGGGTAGCCCACCCCGGGCCCTGGGCGGCCCTGGGCGGCCCTGGGAGGCCCAGTCGACTGATTCCGAGGGCCGCCTTCGTCGCTCCGTCTCTCTCGCACCTATACGGGACGCCCCACGAGTGTGAGAGAGACGGAGCGACGAAGGTGGCCCTCGGAATCAGTCGAGCGGCTGGCGGCGTGCTCAGCGTGCTGCGGGGCTAAGAGGCCAAGGGGATGGCGGCCAAGGCAAATGACTGGCCTGCCGCCGCCTGCCGCCGCCTGCCCCGACGTCGGCCCCCAGGGCTCTCGCTTATGGCACCGAAGGCCTTGACCGCGGCACCGCGGCACGGCACGGGGCGAGGCGAGCGTGGCAGCGGGGCGAGGCGCGTGGTCCTCGCCGGAGTCAACGGACAACTGCATATTGCTAGGGCACAACATAGTACTCCAATTTGGGCCATTTTCAAATTTAGTTCCAAAATTTTTAATGAACACTTATGTATAGAGTCAAGCTGTTTACGAGAAAAATGGTTGGACCACAAGTGGTTGAGGCTAGGTTAGGTTAGGTTAGGTTAGGTTAGATTTGTCTGAAATTGATATTGAACGCCATTAAGGGTCTACGGACTCCCGGTGCCGTGCATTGAAGTCAGGGGTCAAGGTCCTAGAGTGAAATAAAGATCGAGCCTTGATTGTGGATATGTTTGTGATCCGTTTTGATCTTATGACTCGTCAAACTTCAACCATGCTTCACTGTGAAAAATCGTGGTACGAGGCGTCAGAAAGGAATCAAGTAGCCCGGAAAACGGTACATCAGTTTTCGTTACTTTTGGATAATGCCTAATCGTTACTCATTCGTCAGTTCAAATGTAGACACACGGTAAAAACAGAACCTGGTTTTCCCAGGAAGCCCATGGTAGAGACACTTGTCCCTCTAGGTGATTCCCAAGGAGTTCCCGGGAAAACCAGGTTCCGTTTTTACCGTGCAAAGAAAGAAACATAACTAAACTGTTACCTTCATTCGTTACGCTCGCCGATCCTTCGGTCTCCGCTCTGCGCACCATGTCCGGGGGTTGCGCGGCGCGGGGCCCCTGACCCTGCCGCGACCTGCCCCAATGCGCTGCACGGCCTCATGGTCCGCCGCACCGACCGTTACTCCCTTTATCCGTCCTGATTAGCAATTTGTTGTGCAGGTGCAGTGGCGGTGCTCCGAGTGCGCGGCCGGCGATGCAGGCGGCCGGCGGGGGCGGTGGGGGCGGCGGGGGCGGCGGGGGCGGCGGGGGCGGCGGGGGCGGCCCCCTGCTGAGCTACGAGTCCGAGGTGCATGCGCAGTACGTGTGGCCGGAGCGCGCCCCGCGGCCGCCGCCGTGGAAGCGGCCGGCCACGCTGCGGGTCGGAGGGGGCGGCGGGGGCGGCGGGGGCGGCGAGGACGCGGACGGCGCGGACGGCCGCGAGTCGGAGAGCCACAGCCAGTTCGGGCCGCCGCCGCAGACGGCGTCGCGGCGCCCCCCTCTGGCGCGCAGGCCCACCGCCGTGCGGCAGCAGCTGGGCGGCGCGGGTCGTCGCTTCGCGGAGCACGCCTCGGAGACGCACGGCGCCTTCGCGCCCTTCACGTTCGCCGCGGGAGCCTCCCTCTCTGGTGCGGAGCGTGTGTGTGCATGTGCTTGGGGGACTTGGTGAGCACACTGTGACTGTCGGCCTCTGCGGTAGATGGCAGTGCGGTGCAGCGGACCGAACCCGTGCGGCGGCCTGGAAACCTGGTGCTCGCGCTGCAGCCGGTGCAGCCGCCTTTGCCCAGCGAAGCTTACCTGACGGCGCACAAGGAGAGCTTCACCCTGTTCGACCCGGCCTTCCTTGAGCAGAGCGGCAAGCGACTCGCCAAACGCCCCACCAACCTCAAGCTGGAAGGCGAGCTGCAGGTCTGGACAAATAAACTGCATCCACTTCACTTGAGATTAATTGTGCCATGCAATTAGCTGCGAGTCCCAGTACTGTAGTTTTCGATCGTAATGCATACCAAGTGCTTGCACTTTGCCATGGTAAATTGACCAAGCTGGCCGCCAGGTGCTGCCGGAGTACAAGGACCGCTTCCAAGAGTACCCCCGCCAGCGGCGAGTGGATCCCTTCCTGCCTCGGCACCACAACGTCCTTGACGGCGTCACCGTCACCATGCCGATGGCGCCCCCCGCCCCCGCGGCCCCCGCCTCCGGGGACGCACAGTCGGAGAGCCAGGCGCAGTTCGCGGGGTACGACCACCACGCGCGGCCCCGGCCGCTCGCCAAGCGCCACTCCACCAACCTCAAGTAAGACTCTTTCGCTCTCCTTTGGACGACAGGGTTCTTTATGTCCAACACGCCGCCACTGGTTCAGACTGCAGCCGAAGAGCGACTCGGCGGTGCTCCATTGATCCAAACACCCGCGACTTACCCTCTGTCAATCAAGACGTGGCGAGGACAGCTTTCCCAAAATAAAATTCCTAAACCTGGAAGAGGGCACCCCGGCGAACAGGGGTTGATTTTATTCCTTTTACTATCGTTTTGTATGCCATGTTTGGTTTGCCGCAGGCTGGAGGGCGATCTGAGCGCGGTGCCCGAGTACCGCGACGCCTACGTCGAGGTCCGCGGCGCGCAGAGGCCGGCCCTGATCCGGCCGCGGCCCAACCTCATGCCCGCGCAGGGCGAGATGAGCCACGAGACGGAGAAGAGCGCCAGCTTCGTCGACTACCACAACAACTACCACCACGCGGACACGGGGCTGACGGCCACGACGGACAGCCTGCAGCGGCCGCCCATGAAGAGGCACCCCACCAACATGCGCATCGAGCACGGCCAGCACGGCCAGCACGGCCAGCCCGACGGCGACCACGTGCCGGAGTACCGCGCCTCCTTCCGGGAGTACGGCAACGTGCGCAACGTCATTCGCAGGTTAGTCGCTGGAACGATGCACAGTGGGCCAGAAGACCGGTGGAGGCGGCCAAAACTCTAGACGCATTTTATGCTCCAGTCGCTAAACAGGACTCGAACCGAGCGTGTGACCCCCACCAATGGATTCATCTTTCGGAGAGCAGTTCATTGGTGGGGTCGCACGTTCGATTCGAGTCCTGTTTAGCGACTCTGGAGCTCAAAACGCGTCCAGAGTTTTGGGCCCCTCCACCGGTCTTCTGGCCCACCGTGCGATGCACAGTGGGTCAGAAGACCGGTGGAGGCGGTCAAAACTCTGGATGCATTTTGAGTTCCAGAGGCCTTAAAGGGGCCTCTAACTTAACGTGTAATGGATTGCTCTTCGGACGAGGAATCCATTGGTGGGGTCACACGCTCGGTTCGACTCCCATTTAGCGACTCTGGAGCTCAAAACGCGTCTAGGGTTTTGGCCGCCTCCACCGGTCTTCTGGCCCACTGTGCGGCGGCCGAACCCGCTTGTGGTTCGGGTTGGTGGTTCTGCTGTCGTTCGTCCCTCCGGCACTTATCGCGCAGCGCGCCCTGCTCACAGGCCGGAGCCCCACGTGACGCTGGGAGGCACCATGAGCGGTGGACCTGCAGCTGCGGACCCGCTCCCACCCCCAGTCGTGGACAACGGCCCCGCGCTCCAGGCCGTGCAGGCCATGCCGCCCGCTCTGCCACCCGTGCAGGACGATGCTGTGAACGGGAACCAGGCAGGGGGCGGCGGTGGTGGTGGCGGCGGTGGCGGCGGTGGCGGTGGCGGCGGTGGCGGAGGGTTCGGAGACAACCCTTACCCTGAGTATAAAGACTGGTACCTCGACTTCCCCCGGCGCAAGCCACTGACCCAAAAACCGGAAAGAGACCACAACATCCGGTTCGACCAGCAACTGCCCTCGCCGGGGCGGGAGCCCGACTTCCGGTCCGACGTGCACCGCACCCCGAAGCGCGCCGGGCCCCGGACCCCCTCGTTCCTGGACGGGCCGCCGCCGCCCCTGCCCGGAAGGTCGCGGCCGACGCCGCGGCGACCGGGGGGCGGCCGTTCGGACCTGCTGCAGCTGCCCGGGGAAGGCGGCGGGGGCGGGGGCTTCCCCGGTGGCGGCCGTCGCTCGGGGAGCGTATCGCCACTGGACGACATGGAGTACCGCCGCGCCTTCATCGTGCACCCGCGCGACGAGTCTAAGGTATGCTGAGGGGTCGGCATGCGCGCCACGTACGTACTCTTCGTCACGGTGTTGGCCTTGGTGGAGACTTCAGGCTAGGCCTGGGCGATTAATCGCTTAATCGAAAATAGTCGCGATTATTTTGTTAATCGTACGATTATTTCAAACCCACGATTAGTGGTTCGGCAATCGAAAGTTTTGTTCGATTATTTATCGATTATCGATTAATCGTCTCATTATCGGTTATTCTATCCATCATCTGTTTAAATTCTGTGCCGGAAAGGCTGAAAAAATTAATAGTTTTGGCAGAAATGCCGTTGACGTTACTTAAAATGGCTTTTCTATCCTCTTATTACATGCAATTTTCAGTATGTTACGAGCGTATAAAACCTCGATTATCAATTTCCAAATAATCGGTTTCTTCTGATTAATCGGTGATTTTCGATTAACCGATTACCAAACTGCTAATCGACACCAATCGCGATTATTTTATTCATCGACCGATTCTACGATTACAACCAATAATCGCCTAGGCCTACTTCAGGCAAAGTGAGACTCGCCGCGACCCCCTGCTGCCTGCAGCTCGACTTCGCCCCCCGCACCCCCGCGCGCCGCCGGCCGCGCCGCGTCACGTACGTGGACGACGACGTGATGGGCGACAGCGTGGACGAGGACGGACCGCGCTCCTTCCACATCCTGGACGCGAGGATCCGTGAGGCGGATGACGACCTCACCACCCTCCGGCTGGAGGAGGAGCAGGGCGACTACGACGACCAAGGCTTCGACGGCGGCTTCGACGGCGGCTTCGACGGCGGCTTCGACCGTGGCTTCGACGGCGGCTTCGACGGTGGCCTCGACGGGGTCAGGTACTCTCACGGTGGGGACCCTTTCCATTCCATTCGTGTGCCGAGTCTTTGATGCGCACGTGTGGCTTTCTTGCGTGCAGTACAATTCATAGCACGAGCAGATTTTGGGTACAGTATGTTTGGTTTCGTTTTTTTGGTTCGTTGAGTGACTTTTTTTCATAGCAAGGGAGATTCGAACACTTCAAGTATTCCCGCTGGATTTATTGGACCGCACGGTGTGAATCACGTACTACGTTTTGGCAACACGTTTCTTTTTTCTAAGTAAACACAAGTATGAATAGTGCTAAGTAGATGCAGGTATTCTATTTTTCCATTCTGACCTTCTTGATCTACCGTACGCACTTTGTCTTAGGTAGTCCCACCCGCCCACCACAGTAAAGTGCCAATTTATTTTCATCGCGAGCTTTTTTTGTTCCTTCCGTGTCCGTGCGTTTCCGACGGAAAAGGCCTCTCAAGGCTGCCCACCTGATACAGTCGATCACAATCAAAAGAAATTCACCTTGCCGTGCTGCTGGCGCCGTGCTGTCGCTGCCGTGGCCGCTGGCCGCTCCAAGGTGCGCGTCGACACGGCGCAGGCGCGGCCAAGGCGCGGCCAGACCCGGACCGCGACCGGCCGCGAGCCGCGAGGCAGACCGGCCGGGAACGGGGTCAGGGGTATCCGATAAGGGTAGTTAACCTCCGTCACCCCGCCATTCCGTGTCGTATCGGATTTCCTCCATCCCCATTTTCATCCTGTTTCTAAACTTCTCTACCACACAACGATGATTTTAGTACTTTGAAGAGATAATAAAATGTATTTATGTCCACCGTGGGGTATGGATTATGAATCAAGAAACGGCTCCGAACGCTGAAAAATATGCATCGGCCGGGAATCGAACCCGGGCCGCCCGCGTGGCAGGCGAGCATTCTACCACTGAACCACCGATGCTTCATGATGCTTGGGTCTGCTAAATAGTCTTATTGGCTTCGCCCAATAGAATGAAATGAAATTAAATTAAATAAAATGGCGGAGCCATCTGGAGTCAGAGCCACGGCGTCCGAAAATCGTCAACAAGGTCCGTTTTGACACGGGACAATGTAGACAACAGTAAATGTGCGGTCGGAGAGCGAACAAATGGAGAATATGAAAAGAAATGAAACGAATCGACAAAGAAATCAAAGCAATAGAATAAAATTGTTGTTTTCTATCAGTTCGTTCGTTAAAATTTCACGACCACACGGGAACGCATTGTAATGTAATTTCTTTATGTTGGTAACGCGGGTACATTTGAATCAGAACCTGAAAGCGAATCTGTCTATCAATTTCAATGTTGAGTCAGTGACGTGCTGGAGGAGGGAACATTTGAATCAGAACGTGCAAGCGAGTGAATATCGAGTCAGCGACGGTAAATGTATCCTGAAATTGGGCAGGCTCACAACGGCTCGACCTGGCAGACGTATTAGTCAACATAACCTGCACAACCTCGACAAGTTCACGTATTTTGGTTTGGTGTTGTCGACTACAGTTTCCTTCTCAGCAAGGTTCTATGACCGAACGTCGATAATGGATTACAGAACAACTAAAAATGAGAACAACGTTTGATGTGCAACCTTGACAAACTCAGAATGCTCGTTTCCTCATAAACAAATAAATTTGTTGATAAATGATTATTATGACACTGCAGAACATGCAGACGAATCGTAAACTTATATTTTTGTCATATTGATTCCGTAAGTTGACGCTGGCGTCATGAAAAGGAATTAGAAGGCGAAGCCCCTGGAATGAACATTCCTGACTAGTATAGCAACTGCAACGGACTAGGGGAGATGTAGACGGGGCTGACGGTAGCCACATGACAAAACGCAAGGCGCGAGGTGCAAATGGAATTCCCTTCTCATGGCTGGCTCGGTTATTAGGCGCGGAGTTGAATGGCCACGTCGCGGCTCAGCTGGCTCAGCTGGTCGCAGCCGAGTGCCCCCCTCCCCCCCCCCCTCTCCGTCCCGGTTCCCGCTACTTCGCGCTGCCGTGGTGGGGATAGTGGAGGGGGAATCCGTGCTGGCTCAGTGCGGTGATGTAGCAACCGCGTCTCCCACAGCGCCCACTGCGTTCACCTCCTTCGATAGCTCAGTTGGTAGAGCGGTGGACTGTAGAGGGAAGTGCAGCAGGAATCCATAGGTCGCTGGTTCAAATCCGGCTCGAAGGACTTCTTTTTTCGAGCTCGCATGTTAATTGAGGTGAATTTCTTTCTCGTTTCAGAGATGGCTCGGAACAGGGCCTCGGGCACCTAAGTTCCCCTGGGGTTTCCCCCGTCCTGATAGCGCCCGCCTCGTGCCGCATGGACATCTTGGACGCCCAGTCCGACGCCAGTCCGCAGCTGGCCCTGGGCGCATCCGCTTCGCCTGCGCCGGGCTCCGACACGGCCGGAGGATCCACTCCTGGGGCGGAGCAGTACAACGACGCGGCGTTCTTGTCCACGCCCATGCCCGTGTACCTGGCCTGCACCACGGCGCCGTACTACTGCACCGGGGCCAGCCCGCCCCACCATCTCTACTTCGGCGGCTTCTGCCCGAACTGGTCTCCATCGCACCAAGGCTACGCGCCGTCTCCGTACTGCCCCAGCCTGGCTCCCGGAGCAGCCCCTTCGGCCGGTGCAGGTGCCGCCCCCGCACCACCACAGCACGGACCACCTGCCTACTGCCCCTCCATCCTGCCGCCGGTGCATCCGTACGTGGCTGGCTGCTGCCCGCCGCCGGCCACCATCGTGCCGCCAGCACCGCCTGCAGCGCCTGCAGCACCGGACGCCGCGGCCTTGGCACTCGCCCGCCACCCCACCGCGGCCGCGGCCCCCGTCGCCGCCCCCGCCGCCGCCCCCAACACCGCCCCCAACGCCACTCCTAACACGACCTCGAGCCCCGCGCCGGCAGGAACCCCGGCAGGAACCCCGGCAGGAACCCCGGCACCCACCGCGGCACCCACCGCGGCACCCACCGCGGCACCCACCGCGGCGACACTAGCGGTGACAACAAGTCCGAGTCCAGCGCCAGCAACGCCGTCGCCCAGCCCGACGGTCAACGCCCCAGCTCCAGCCACCCTCACTGCCACCAGCAAGTCCAAGAACAGGGGCGCGGTGAAGCCCGGCGTCAAGAACAAGACGAACACGCCTCCGGGTGGCGGGAGCGGCGCGCCAGGCGGCTCTGACGCGTCCACGGCCACGGCCTCGTCGACCTCCTCTCAGACGAGGGCCTTCGTGGTGCTGGACCAGTCCAGGGGCGGGGCGGGCAACGACGCCAACAACAACGAGTCCTTCGACAAGCCTCCGACGCCGCCCGGCCCGTCATCGGGTTACGAGTGACGGCGGGAAGGGCTGTGGACATCCAGCCGAGCCCCAAGCCTGGCGGTCATTCCACGATGGGCTACAAGCTACACACGGCGCGGGCATTAGCATCTGGTTGCTTCCCCCCCCCTTTTTCCATTGATTCGTGTACATCCGTGCTGTCGAGTACATGCGGAGCGGAACCAACGCAAATGGAACGAACAATATCACATTTTGTGCGGTCAGTCCTGTGTGTATAGGCTTATAAATTCCTCGTTCGAATGAGTTACCATAAAGTATTAGATTTCCGGGTTCTTTGAGGAAAACACATCCTCAGTCTGACTGACGGTTGGAAGTTGAAACGCGTAAATCCATATCGCCGATGGCATTGAGGCATCGGCTTTCGATTCGCCACGTGCGATGGCGCCGTGCTTGCCTATTCCGTTTGCGTTTGTCGGCCTTGTCTTGCGGCTGTCACGCGCGCGTCCGCCACGCCTTGCGCCACGCCGTCACGGTCATGCAGTGCACCGCCGTGGATGGCCGTGGCGCGCCTGTGTTGTGCGCCTCGTAGACGAGCTGCTTCGCGGCCTTGGCGGCCTTGGGTGGCTCGTGGGAGGGAGGGGGATATAGCACCCCAAACAAACTGACCTTGCGTGACGTCAGGGCCGCGCAGGGGGTGCGGCTGGCCAGGGCAGCCAGGGCTGGCGGTGCGGGGGAAGGCCATCGCTGCTAGGACTCTACGCCTAGCTAGGCCTTTGCTGGCCCGCCTGCGCGCTCGGCTCGGCGGCTCGGCGGCTCGGCGGCCAGGTGGCGGTCGTTGCGTGTCCTCCACTTGCCTCAGCTGTCGCTGTCGGACAAGGAATCTTTAAAGGGCGCTCCGCCGAGTCACGCAGACCTGGCCGGTCTGGCCTGGGGCCTGGCATCGGCTAACAAATCAGCTTAGGCCTCTACCGTCTTCCACCGTCTCGTCATCCTGCCTAGCACTTCTCCCAAATTGCATCGAAGTCGAAATGAGCGTCACCGTTCCCCTTCATTGGCGCCGGGTCTAGAGGGACTGGACTGAGCCAAGCGGAACCAGCAAATAAATGTACACCGAGTTCCGTCGTCCGATCACCGTACGTACGCATGGAAAAAGTGTTTCGTAGTCTCATTTATTTTGAATTTCAACCAAATTCTAGTAGGTTTTTTTTCCGCATGTTATGATGTAATAATAACAACGAATCAGCAGTCTTTTGCTTTTATAAAGTATTAGTCTTTGGAGTTGCGGAAAAATAAAAATTATGAAAACAAGTATGTTGTGTTCAAATTTCCCAACGACTCCTGGCACACGTTTGAGGTTCATATTTTGTTTTAAATTTCTGTTGTGCAATACTGATTCTTTCTGGGATGGTCAGAGTCTCTTCTGCAGACAACTGCATTAAAATGCATTAAGATCGTGGAAAATATTTGCTTGGGATAAGGAATAGGAGTGTAATTGATTGTAAGCAAACAGTAAAATTAACAGATCTTGGGTTTATTAGGTGGAGAAATGTCAATTCAAACATAAACTCCATATCATGACTGATAACAGCATTTACAAAGATGGGGTGCACCATTTCCTACTAATCTATGTCTATACACAGTAACGGAATTTAAGTTGTTCAACTGTACAAGGGGACAATGTACAAGGTAGGTTGATTCAATAGTAACCCTAAACTGATATACATAATCAATAAACAATATAAAAGAAAATCTCTACAACAAGTATTCTACATTAGCCAGATCTACGGAAGGAGAATGTGGCCCACAGTACTCATAAGGCATTCCATTGAGTAATTGCGCACAAAGACTGACTTACATTAGCTATCATTAAGTATTGCCTGTGTAATCAGAACACATGTAGATACAAACACTCTGCAAAAATATCACTTTTCCACTGTGCTGCATAAGAGTCAGCAATTTTTTGAAAGAATACGACAGCTGAAATAATATTGTGAATTTCTGAAGCAGTAATAATTTTCTTACTGCTGTTCCATAATGGTCAATATTTCATAATAACTCAGACAAACGACCAAACATTAAAATCACATTAAGCAGGCATCAGTACATCAAGGTTAAAATTAATTTTAAAAATAAATAAATCAAATCACAAATAGAGTTCATTTAACAATTTTTAAGACTTAAAAAGTAGGTACACAAATGGTAAAAAAACAAAACAGTTCATCATTGAAAGGGCAATAATTAACTTTGATGCTAAAATTTTAGCATTAATGTTTCGACAACAATTGAGCATAAAGTAAAGAAAAAAAAAACAATGCTGATTTTAAGACATAACTTCTTTTCCAGTGCCTCTTGCAAAAATCTTGCACTGAAAATTCACATTTCTTTGCTGCAAAATAACAAATAATTGAATCCAATTTCAAGGCAAAATGTTTTAGTGAAGTGACACCCTAGCCAATTCTAACATTTACATAGAGCTACTCTCCAGCCTGCACTAGAAGTAAAAAGTAGTCCTTCTGGCAACTTTGAGATTATTCAGCAACTAAAGGTGTATCTAGGTCAAGTTATTTGTTGGCAAACAGAATTTACAGAAGGGGATCCCGCTTCCTCGAGGGAGCAAAGGGACAAAAATGTAACCAGTAGGCCATTTTAACTAAAGTTACTGAAGAAAGAGAGACAACAAGGTTGTGGAGTAAACAACAACCTAAACAAAGCAGCTACATCACAGGATACATACAATTTAAAATCTTGCACACTTATCCTAAATTACACTTAAATATCATCCTTCCGCACACCTCCTTTCAACCAGTTGGTAACATAGATTTCTAAATGTGAGTCTCTGCTCATCAATATAAATTACAATATTTACAGCAAAGCAATCTTAAAGAAAATTAAAAGTAAAAAGGTGATAAATTCATGTCATGGTCGAGTCAAGAACAAAACAAATATCAACAGGTTACCCAACACACCATTTTCCATGGTTTGCTGGGTTTCAAAATACACGAGAAACAGAAAGGTTAAGACCAAATGCAAAAATGACTTAAAATAATTGAATAACTGACTGAACACAACAATAGAACTGTTGCTAAAAGGAATCACAACTACCCTGTCACTTTCAAATATGCCCCTCTATTTTGATAAAGCATTCATCTGCTTGAGAAATTGATGGAAGAAAACGAAAGAAGAAGATATTTCAAATCAGAAAATATGATGTATAACGGGCAACAGAAATCTCTAGCTTAGCTAGAGTATACATAGCAATATTTTACCACTTAAAAATGCTGCGTGTGATATGGTACACTGAATAGCCTCATACGAGGAACATTTTCAAACTTTACAGATAGCTACATAGAAGGAGATCTGCTTTTTTTTCTTTTCTTTTTTGAAGGGAAACGGACATATACATTTTGGTTTGGCATAGAACACACCACTAAATAATCTTACAAAAAAATATATATCTATATATTTCTATTAGCTCATAAGGGAAACCAACTGCATTCTCATGGTTGTCAGTTTGACTAGCACTTCCTTCCAAAGGTACACCTGCAGCTCAGCACTCTGCAGTGTCTGCAAATACGGTTCAGGCAAGGCAAGACATTACCACCCCCAAAACCCTACAAAGTTTATAGTATAGTAATAAACACTGTCTTTAACATCCATAACAAATCTATAAAAAGAAGACTTAACTATTTATGACTAGCGCTGGTTAACACACATTGTCTGCAAGCACACTGCCATTAGCCTGGCATTTGCAAATTCACTTTAAATTTCGCTCAACTCACTCAATTTACCCAAAAAATAGGCCTGGCTAAGATAAGTTTATTAAAACATTTTCAATTTTAAACTAACATTTTTGAAAATTTACATCAAAAGCAAACAGTGGGATAATTTATAATGGCCAATTTTGTCCAGTACAAAGCTCTCACCTAATGCGGTGGCAATTATTGATACCACAATACATGTATTCAGTCTTGATGGAATTGGTTATTGATAGTCTTCTCACTTGGCAATCAATGCATGGAGTAAGGTTTTACAACACAAAAGGATTGGTTGACTGCACGCATACGACAAATATACAGATCAGTCTTTGAACAAATTGTGAACATGGAACGGAATCAAATCATGAATCATGTCGATGGCTTCGATGTTTCCCATTTCCACTCTTCCTACGCTTGCGATTGGCGTCTCTCCGGAAAGCAACATTGCCTGGATCGTCAGCTAATTGGGGATAACGGTGTAAAGTGTGCAGCTCCACACCTTCCCATCCACCAACAACGCCATTAGTCATCAGCTCTTCCCTTTCTTCTGGAGACCAATCTCCCCGCCCTCGGAATCCAGCAGACACAACTGCCTTTTCCAACTTCCATGCCTGTTCAACGGCTCGTTTATGTGCATGCTTAAGAATTCTTTGCCGTTCTACATCTGGATCAGTACCATAACTGAAAAGAAAAATTAAGGAAATAATTTTAAATCTCGCTTTAACTTGGGAAAATAAAGAATTATCAATATTAAAACCAGTGCTTAAGAGAAATGAACAAACATACCGGATGAAGACAGCAGCATCAGGGTTATGAAGACGCAGCTCTTTTATTCCACTTTGGCCATGGTCTGCATTCTCATGAGTTGAGACATTAAACATAGCACCCAAACGCCTTAGTTCTTCCATGTCATCTCGGATCTTCAAAGGATTGTCCTAAAAGTCACAGAAACATACCATTTAAAATTTTTTGAAATACAATAGAGGAAATGCCAAGACAGGTCTTATTACACTTGATGAGTGTGATAACTTAAAATTGTTACCTTCACAAAATAGAACACATCTTGGTCGTGAAGACTAAAATGAATATCTAAAAAGTGTGAGTTGTTGAAAACTGAAGTCACAACGTCTTGAAGAACTCCATTAACATTGTCCACAACACTGACAAGTGCACGCCCACCACCTCCCCTTGAGATGAGAACTCCCTCTCCAAATATAGCTCTACGATATGCAACACGAGGTAAGAGGTTTCTGGTTCTGCTTTCCATTTTTAATAGAGGTTCAGGAACAAAGCCAAGTTCTGAAAACTTTTCAGAAACCTAGAAAAAAAAAAACAGAAAACATACACTTAATTAGAAAAGTAACTTTTGGACAGGATCATATAATTTAAAATTTAAAAAAACCAAAACAAACCTTGTCAACTAAACATTGCAAGCCAGACATGACTGAAAATTCAGGTGCAAGTTGTGTGTTGCGCACAGATGCAACAGGGTGGTAAACTGCATTACTTGTGTATAAGGATCCCAGCATATTATTTATATTGTAACCGAATAAACTTAGCCAGCTTTGCAAGTCTAGAAGGAGTGGTAAAAGTCATAGCTGATTATTTTGAACAGATGAAAGTGGCAGACAAACTTTGGTTTGAACTGCATCTTTACCTGTCATGTAGTTTATTCTCCTCTGCGGGGGATTGATTGGATCATTGTTGTGGAATCTATAAATGAAAACATCTGTTGGAGAAGTCAATTGGCTAGCTAGTTCCTCCCAGGCAGGTGTCATCCACTGTCCTATACTGGGGTCATACAAGCGCCCTTTAATATAAACTAGCTGAGTGTGGGGGTCTAGCAGACCACCATGGAAATCAACAGGCAAGTAGAAGTCTGGATTGGAGTCCATTTGCACTTTTCCAAACGGTGTTCGGCGGATCTAGAAAAGAAATAAAAGAAATTAATAAATTAAATAATTTACAGTAGAAAAAAATGTTACAAATTCAGCAGTTTTAAGTTTTCTTGCCTCCTTGATAATGTTTCCATTGATATCAAACAGAGCCAATGGGGAACCGTTCTGATCACAAGCAACATAGAATCTTTGTTCTGATGTCTCCACAGCTATGAGGAACTTGCGGTCATCATACAAGAGACGGAAAGTTCTTCCAGTTTGAGGGAAATGGACATGTGACACAAGTTCAGGAGTGTGAGGATAGGCGTACAGAAGTTGGGTGATGTTATCCTGGGCATCTCTCCATGATACCATTCTCCCCCTATCATCATAGGCATACCATGCTGAAAACTTGTCTCTTTCAAAGGCATGTGTTAACTGTCCTCTGGGATTGTATCTATACTTTTGCTCTCCTCTACGAATAACAAAGCCTCTTGAATCATAGTTTATAAGTTCAACATCACCAACTTGCACAACACGATCACCCAAGTCATAGCCCAAAGACTGCTTGTGCCCCTGATCTATAGCTCCAATAACATTGCCATTTTCGTCATAAACAAATTTCCAGTTGTTGGCCCCACTACCAACAACTTCCATGACATGACCGTCAGCATTATAAGTAATGCGATCCATTGATGAAGTTCTACCAATCAAGAATTGCTGAGTCTTGATGCGGTTCCGCTTATCATATTCTAGTTCAAGGCTGAAATTTAAAACATGACATATGAGTAACATTACACTGACAAATAATCAAACAAGATACAAAAAAATAAAAACATACCGGAAAACATCAAAGGCTTTAATGTTGATGAGAACAGATTTTATGCGTCCATGGCTGTCATAGTCAATGATGGTCAAAAATTGTTTAGCATTGTCTTGCATGACAGATTTATTAAACATGTTTCGGAACACACGAAGATCACTAACACTTTCAAGTACACCCATATTTTGGTTGTGTTTGAGTCGTAACTGTGGTAGTTGTTTACTATTGATGTCAACATCGATGGCTGACAGCCGAGCATTACCATCATATTGATATCTGCAATGGTAAAGAAGAGAAAAAAATAATTTTCAAATGTAGCACAACATGTAACATATTCTTTTTTAAAAAACACATTGACATACCTGTAATGTGTATTATCCAAGCCACTCTTGCTACCGAACTGAAGCTTTTCATTTTTGAGTAGCCCACCATGGTATTTGAATTCATGTTTTAGTTCAAAATATGGCTCTATGATGTCAATGTACTTAACAGCATTAGTGTTTTCTTGGTAACTGTAGTGAATAGATGACATACCTGAAACAAAAAAAGGTTTTTACATTTAATTTAAAAAACAAAAAACAGCAAAGATGGCAAAAATAAAAACAAAACTTTTCCTTATTTTGAAAAAAATAGTCTCAAGAATTACTTTAATTCAGTTTAGAAAGGAAGAAAAAAAGCTCACCAGCAAGAACTGTGTCTAGCTTTCCAGTCTGGTCATAAACATATGCAACTCGTCCAGACTGATGAGGGTACACTTTTGCTATGATTTGTCCATCATCATTGTACAGGATTTCAAATGGGTGCCGGTTGACGGGAGAGTAATATTGGTACTTGAAAAATCCAAGAGATGTTTGCAGGCTGAATGCATGAATATGTCCTCTTGGGGTTGTTAATGACTGAAGAGCACCAGCTTCATCATATTGCAGAAGGTAATCAGAACCCCTTGGTGTAGTCACCTTCAAAGGCTGAAAAAGCAACAACTCAATATTTGAAAATGTAAACACACCAATTCAAACAAACTTTTGGAAAGGAACAAATAGACAATGAGTGGTACAAGTTTGATGTACACACACTTACCAAGCTACTAAACATGTCTTTGAAAGCATATTGCATAGATGAACCATCTGCATATCGAATTTCATTCAGTCGCCCTGCTCTGTCAAAGCCATAAGTTTCACTCAGATCACCCCACTTCCAGCTAGTGAGACGTGAGAAGCGGTCGTATTCGAGCTCCACTCCAGAGAAGATACCATTTTGTGGCCCCCACTTAATGGGACGAGCAGTTCGATCATATGTAATGTTAATGAGTTCCACTCTGTCATCCATGAATACTGCCACTGAGTTGGAATCTTTATCATACTCAAGAGTTAGTATATTTTCTCCATTTACCCGTAATTTCCGACCAACAGGACCCGCAGTTTTGGTACCAGACTTGATCTTGGCATTTGCTTGACCTTGCTGATTTTGTCCTCTGAAGTAGCGCCACTCAAAGCTGTTAGCCAAATCACCACCAACTTCAGTTCTTTGCTTGGATGGCACAGGATAGCTTTCTCCAAGCATAGGATCAATATCTGAGAGAACATTGTAAGGCACAGTATCTGTGCTGACTGTATGACCCCATGGGGTGGTTGTTGCTACACTTCCATCTGGAAACAGCACGGTCTTCTGTCTGGCGTCACCAAGTTTGGTCACAACAGATGAACCCTTTATGAGGAGAGACTCAGGCCTGCGCCCATCCTGCTTCACACGCACCATCGCTCCCTTTTGGCTCAAGTCGAATTCCAAGCCAACAATGCGACCTGTTGGTGTAACAGCTGAAGTGAGGCGACCAAATTCATCATAGGTGTATACATAGCTTCTTCCCGTGCTGTCAAGTTTTGATTTGAGTAGACCTGTTGGTCCATGATAGTCAAGGGTAACATTGTAATTGTCAGGTGTTGACAGTTCTGCTAGAAGACGCATGCGAGACATGCGAAGACGGCACTTCTGACCCTTTGTATTTTCAATAGAGTTCACTTGACTGGAATAGTCTCGTAAGAGGAAAACTTTATTGGCTTGTGCATCAGTAACTGTACTGAGTTTTCCATTACTGGTATTAACGTTGTAGGTAAATAAGAACAATATTTCTCCTGTCAGCAAATTTTTGGTTGCAATGTGTTGCCCAAATCTATTGAAAACATACACTTCCTGAGTTTCAGGTTGGTAGATTTCATATTCTCGAGTAGGACTTGCTTCTGGAATACTTGCAGTAACAGATCGAATTCTATAATTTGCTTGGTCAGCAATGTGGACTACTCCGTCAGGTGTTGCAGTAATAGAAGAAATAGTATTAAACTTGGCTGTAGCTGCAAGGTAATGATCTTCTTCAAAACAATCACAGCCTCGATCCAAGCAGTTGCACTTTGACTCAGCACCGGCAAAATGACTTATTCTTCCATCAGTGGTAATAACCCTCACTCTGTTAATTCTCTGAGAATCACTTTCAGCAACATACAAATCACCAGATGGGCCAAAAGCAATTGATTGTGGCATGACCAGGGCTGCATGAGTTGCCAATTCAGTATCATGGGCGCCAGGAGGCCCAGCACAAAGAATAGGGCGTCCTGCAGCAACTTTCACTCTCCCATCACTTGTCAATTTTAAAATGACATGGTCATCTATGATGTGCAGAGAGTTATCCAAGGGATTAATAGCTAAGTCCGTAGGCCAGCGTAGGTGAACCTCTTCTACTCGTAAAGTTCCTTCACATGGTACAGACTTCCAATGGCTCTTATGCATATGATTTCCAATAACAGTTGTAACAATTCCATCACGATCAACCATGCGAATGTTGGTGCCATCAGCAAAATACAACACATTATCCGCTGCAACTGCCACTCCTTTAGGGTATGCAAGTTTTGCATCTCTTGCCAAAGCACCATCTCCACAGTGGGCCTCATCTCCAGGAAGACATCGTTCACCTGAGCCAACAGCAGGTTCCCAGTTGTGGTCTGGATCTGAATAGTCATCAACATTCCGCACACGAATGATCTGATGAGCCTCAGGATCGGAGATATATAATGTATTGTCAAGAGGACTCAGGGACAAGTGATAGCGGTAAGCCACTCTGGTGGCATTGAGTCGAACAACAGTTCGAACTGTTCCATCAACCAATATTCGCCGAACCAAGTTGAAGTCTCCGACAAAGAGTGACCCATCTGGGGCAGCAGCAAGTGCTACTGGAGCAAGGAGTCTCTGACCAGCACCTGCAGGTGCCTCACCTTCACATTCCGGACATTCCACAGAACGTTGATGTCCATCTCCCAAAATGGTTCTAATTATATGAGGACGTTGCTTGAGGTACAGATTAGTTCCATCTCCTTTTTGTAGGATTCCTTCATGAAAATTATAGCGGTGGTGTATATCCAGGTTCCAGCCTCCCACTTCTGAAATGCTCATGTCATGGCCACTGAGCTTGGTTGTTTGAACATCCCAAATTATATCAGAACAATTGTTGTACTCATAGCCTACTTTGACTACAGCTGTAGTAACACCATAGACTCGTTGTCGGTAAACATTCAAACGATTCCATGCATAAGTGAACTTGATGACAGGATCGGCCTCAAAGATTTTCTCAAATAGGATTCCCTCAATAGTAATACGTAGATGAATTAGCTTGAGAGAAGTTGGCACAGTTTCTGGTGTAAGTTGGAGTTGGATTGTTGACAAATATCCGGGTGATCGGGAGCTATGGTACACTAAATTTAGACCAGTGCCCGGAATTTGGATACTTTCTTGCACAACCTTCGAAGAAAATAAAGATTAAGTTTTAGAAACAACGAGCGGTATTCAGATTAATAATATATTTTCATGTGCTGCTCGAACATACCTGTGACTCCACAAGAATAGCACTTTTGTCAGGGCAAGCACCTTGAAACCCATGCTTCCATGTCGCTAGGACAACTGGTTTCATGACATCATAGTCATGTGATTGGCAGGCTTGAGATGGAGGGGAAGCCGAGGCCAAAACAGCAGATCGGTCATCTCCTACTTCCATGACTACGGTATCAATCACTACAACCTACAACCAGGAAAAACAAAACTCAGTAACATAATAGGAATAAACATGGAGAAAAAGAAAGAAAAAAAACACTTGAAAAATGGTCATTACCTCATTCCAAGGTACATTAACAACATATTGAACAGCTGGGAAAGGGGAGCGTCCAAACTTTAAAGTAACAGCGCCACCTCCATTCAGCAAGAGGTCAAACCATCCATCTTCACGGGTCATGGTGTAACCATCATTGATATTAGTGGTTCCAACCCGCACTCCCATCATGCCCATTCCCATAGATGTGACCACACGACCCCGAACAACAGCAGAACGGCTAGGGAATGAAAAAACTTATTAGTTGCCATACTTAACTGAAAGTGTAGAGGCGAATTGTATGCTACATTAAAAATATATTGTGCAATCCAAATTTGTTCTAAGGAATCAATTTAGGTATTAACTTGCAAAATAGAGGCATAAAATGAAACAAGCTGTTGGAGCTGATATGAAATAAATTTCATCAGTAGAAAACAATGCAGTATTGCATAACTTAGTTTCATTTGCCTCAAATAACATTATGATAGTGCAAAAAAAAATCAACTTCAATCATGATGAAAAAATTCAACCAAAACAACAAACAAATCAAACCATAAACAAAATAAAAAAGAATAATTAAAAAAAAATAAAAATACTTAAGGCTTTTGTATCAATTGACATTCAAATTTGTAAATGAAGCTTACACAAAACAAATTCAATATGCCTTACACCAACCAGGGAAGTACTGCTCATAATATTGCATTAAATGAGAGAACACAGATATCAAAAAAATCTGGTGGACCTGAGCATCTTAGACAACAAAGTTAAATTCCTCAACACTTAATTTTAAAAAAAAATGTTTCATGTGTTTGTTTTTAACATACTGATGATACCAAGTGGAAATGTTCAAAGCCACTTGTACTGCACTTATATTTAAAAGTGAGCAGAAAAATAAGAGGAATGGGGAAAGAAAAAGAACTAGAAGAAGCACCTTACAAGTGGAAAGGGAATAGACAACACAGGACATACACAAGACAAACACAAGACAAAACAACATCACAAATTTGCAAACTCAACACAAAAACAGCACAGAACACAAAGGGGATATTTTTCTACTTGAACTGAAGGGTGTATGTGACCAAATTTTGTTGGCCCTCAGTGCACCCTTACCTCATATTGAAGTGATTCCAAAACACACTGATGGCGCAGCCACAAGAAGGGAAGGAGAAGTTGCAGGTTAAAAGTTGAGAAAGAAAAACATATTCTAACAGTGAACTGTCAAACCAGAGCTGGAGAGCAGTTTCCAACCACTTGATGAAGGTTAACTAATTTATTTTCAGAGAACGAAACAACATTTAGACAAAGAAAAATTTAATTTAACTTAAAAAGATTCAAATAATTCTTCCATCTGTTTGACCTCCTTGGAAAAAGTCAAGGATGTTAAGAAAATCAGGAAACTTAAATTTTGTAAACTAGTAAAAATTTTCCTTCCCTTGGTCCAAAAGGTAGAAACATAAAACACAGACAGGAAGGTAAGTGCACTAAGACACAAAAATAGACGACACATGGACACACAAATGCAACACATGGACGGGACAGACACAGGACATATACATGGAACAAATACTTAGGCAGTTGCAAAAATAAAAGTGAAACAAAACAGACAGTGTTTAGCTACAGCATACTAGGCATATGCTTGATTGTGAAAAAAAATTATTAAATTATGATGATATGAAAAAAGGGCCACTTAAATAAAGGAATTTGTTTTCCTACAATTATGGATTGACGAATGGATGGACTGATGAAGATAGAATGGATATTTTCTTGCTGAGGGAAGGATATGTTTGGTCAAGAATCATAAATTCTTGCCAGTGTTCCATGTGCTTTTAAAATCTCATTAGTCAGGTGAAATTATAATTTACAAGTATTGGTGACTCGTACAGGTGATGGAAGTACTGAATACTCCACTTTTGTTATTGTTTAAAATGATGAATCATTCTATGTTAGTTTATGTTAAGGAACTTAAGAATATTTGATATTGAATCAAGAAAACATATCTTACCTTTCATTGAGGGCATCCTGCTTTGCATAACGCTGCAAACTACCTTCCTCAATTAAGAACTTCATGCGTTCAAAGAATGAGGCAGTAATTGCTGGGGGCTGTTTGCGCAGCAGAATGTCTATTGGCTTAGGGGAGGTGATACACGTTTGAGACGATCGACATTGAGGGCTCATGCAACATTCAGGATCTTGACAATCAATAAGGTTGTCTGCAAAACCGACACAAAATATTTGTGAGTATAAATGGTTTTTTCTGTTACCGTTTAAATTACATAAAATTCATAATTGGAGATTTTTATACAAACCTTTGTCATTGTCTCGTTGATCTGAACAGCTCTGCTCAAGAGCCACACTACAATCTTTTCCATCCCACCCCTCATAGCATCTACACTCCCACAAAGCCTCTCCATTGACTCGGCATTGTCCGTGGCTAGAACATCCTTTGGGACACCCTTCCATTGTACAATGCTTACCATTCCACCCAGTGACACATAGACATGTTCCATTTTTGCATTGACCATGCTCATTGCACCTAAAAATTAGAATAAATTAGACAGTAAATCTTTAAATGTAGAAAAAATTCACATCAACAAAGGAATTTTCCTTTGAATTTTTTTTTTAAAAATATGCTTTTTTTTTTTTACTTTTATTTTTTACCTTTGATCACATTGTTTAAGCATACAATACTCTCCAGACCATCCTGAATCACAGACACAGGTATCACCCATGCAATGTCCATGTGGTCCACAGTCTTTGTCACACAATTCTATGAAAAGAAAGAGAAATACTTATAACATCACGTGTGCGTCACATAAATAACATGTTTGACCAAAAAAGTAGTAGTTACAAATTACCTTTAGAGCAGTCATCGCCGGACCACATTCGCTCACATGAGCAAGTTTGTGTTTCAAGATCAAATGTTCCATGTCCTGAGCAATTGGGGAGACACTGAAGGGCATCATTGTCTGTGATGGAACAGTCAGCACCTTTCCAACCACGCTTGCAAAGACAGGATCCTTCCGTAGTACAATAGCCATGCCCAGTGCAGTTGGGGTGAGGACAATCCACTGTGGACAGAACAAACTATGTAGCGGTTGCATACATTTTTCCCACTACACACACTCACACACTTGTGTAAACGTGTACAAGGAGTATATGAATCTAACAGTTGATCAAATTCAGCAGTATAGAAACACTGTGTTAGCAAAAAAGTTAAGATAATTAAAACATGAATGACAAGAAAACAAACAAATTATGAAAGCAAAGCACAGGTTTCCCAGAACAGTGAAATTAGCCATGGAGAATTCAGCCACTGACTCAGCCAATAAGTTATGTGAGGTGAACAGAAATTTTTCCTGCCAGTTCAAAAACATGCTCACATGCAGTTAAAATCTCCTTTCATGCAGCTATGTTAAAACACAAACAAAAACAACAACAATAACAACAACAAAATAAAAAAAATAAAAAACTTGATTATAAAAAAATCATAGCTGATTGAATTGGAAAAAAAATGAATTTATTAAGGGGAAAAAATAGACAAGCAGCAAAATCTACAAAAAGAAAAAAAAGAATCAATTTAATAAGGAAAACCAAGGAACAGAGAGAGGAAAATATCATTTGAAGAGAGAGCAAAAGAGAAGAGTGAGTGTGGTTTCAACATATCAATTACCTTGATCACAAAATTTGCCTTTGAATCCAAGGACGCAAGTACATTTTCCATTGTTGCATTGGCCATGTCCATTACAATCAGGCACTTCACACTCATCATGTCGCAAGCTGCACTCCTTACCCTTCCAGCCTGGGTTGCAGTGGCATTCGCCATTGATGTACTCACCACGCTGACTGCACAAGACAGGACAAACACCTGAAAAGCAAAACAATAAATACGTAAAATAACTTTTAATTTTAATTTACATAAGATTTACCAGACAACAATATTACTACAGCATTTGGGTGTATATAACAAAGATGGTCCAATAAAACTCACTCTCACTGCAGTCTTCTCCTCCAAATCCTGGCTTGCACTGACAGTGTCCCAGAATGCACTCTCCTTTGCCTGAGCAACCACTCGGACAATTTGTAGTCAAATCCTCAGAAACAGCTGCCATGAACGATACTTCTTGAGGGTCGCCATCATCATTATAAAGAGACAGGAACCAATGTCCTTGCTCTAAGTAATGGCTCACTTCTTTTTTCATAAGAGGCTGTAAAGTACCACAAATGCACAAATGTAGAAATATAAAAGTGTAACATTACATTTTGCTCTACACTTTCATCTTTTGTTTGATTTGCTTGCTTACATGAGAGGACCTCGTCTGGCGAGGTTTGAATCCAGACAAAACTTCCAAAATATCGTAGTGGGTGTGAGTTGGAAGAGCATTCCGTCGAGCATAAACTCCAATAGAGGCTCCTCTTTGAATGCTCCAATCAAAAGAGACAAATGCAGCTCGAGACTGGTAAAATTGCATGTTCCAGTATCCATATGCTGGAATCTCCTGAGACAGCCGTTGGCCAAGTTGAACTTGTGCAAATGTTGTTCCATCTGGAGGGAATGTTCTCATAGGCACCGTTTTGGCTCCTACAATACAAATTAAAAAGCCACATCAGTAAAAATAATGAGAGAAATACACATTTTTGCTGACAATAAGAATGTGTCGATATTTGTCCACAATTTCCACTGGTAAGCAGATAATAAAGAGGAGAGCAATGCTAAGTATCAGGATGCATAAGACTACTTGCAGCACACAACTAAGTCTAGAGGTGCATTCAAAACCAAAACAAACAAGGATATTGTAGCTAAGAATCACTATTTTATCATTTCATGCCAAAAAAATAAAATAAAAATAAATAAATACATGGTACTACACATCCTATGCATGCAATTGAAATGTGTGAAAGAAAGAGGCCTTACCAAAGAAAATAGAAGAGAAACCTGTCATCCCATTTTACCACTAATAATACAGTTAAAATACTGAAAAAAGGAGGGAAGTGCAGTTTGAAATTCCACAGATATGATTTTGTTTCTTAACAAGTGGTGTTAGTCAAGTAATTATATTTTTAACTGTTAAAAATTTAAGGCACATGTCCCATTAGTTTTGAGCTGAACTAATTCCTCAAATTTTCTCACCTTCCAATAAAAGAATGATGGGAGGTGGCTGCGTGGGCTGCACACACAGCTGCTGCGTCGTTGTATCAGTTTGTGTCACGGGTTGCAGAGTAGAGAGAGTGCTGTCCTCAAACAAGCCTTCTTCATCTTTCAAAGTAGTAGGTATTTCATCTGATGTGCTTTCATCTTCATTAAAAGGAATTGTTGACTCATCATAATCAGACAAAGGAGTAGAAGCATGATTTCCATCCTTAAAATTCAAGTCAGGCGGGTTTTTTCCAGATACGCTCTGGTTTTTGTTGTCCTCTTGGGCTCTGGGGTCTTCACTATATTTTCCTGGAATTTTGGTCAGGTTTGCAGTTTGGTTATTATGTGACCCAGACAGACTGTCGAGACAAGGGCAAGAGCATTGGCAATGAGGCTCTGATGACGACGTTGGTGTAGTTGACAAGGTTGAACTAACTGTTGTGGATAACGGATGTGAATCATTAAACAGGCCTCCTTGCAGGCCAAGATGCACAGAGGCTACATTCTGCTGAGGAGGACTCAAGTCTATGGATCCACCATTTACACTTGTGTCAGCAACAGACGGGATTGCTACTGAAAGTACGTAAACCTGTTGATTTGTGTGATGCTGGTCTCCACCATCCTCTGTTGCGATAGTCACATTCACTAGCACACGCTTAGCATGATGAGAATTTATTTCTCTAGAGTCAGCAGCTACTTGCTGATTTGAAACATTTCTAGATGGTAGAGATTCTTGGCTAGCTCCCAAACTGTGCGCAACTGCAGGAGAGCTTTTCAGATCAGTTTCCACAACAGTTGCATCCTGGAATGGAGTCATTTGAGTTGTGGCCTTCACTTCAGATATGTTAATTTTACTATCTGAGGAAAATTCTTGAATGAACACGTTAGAAATATCTTCATCTTTCGCAGATATAGCTTCATTAACTTCATTCTCATCAGAATATTTGTAAAGGTCATTAACACTTTCAAATTTGGGCTCAGATAAAACATCCTCTGAGGGTTCGTTCATTTTTTTAAGCGAAGAAGGCTCTAGATCATGTCTTAACTCAATAATTTCAATATTATCCACTCCATATGAATACAATGGTGCATCTTGTTGAAGTCTCTCTTCATCAGAAACCAACCATTGATCCTTGTCATCAGGAATATCACTAGGTGAATATTCAACTTCTGATTGAAATTCAAGTACAGGAGGAACTTCAACAGATTTGGAACTTTGAGTTGGGCTGTTTTCATTTAATGTCTCAGTAACAAACAAGCTCTCTGCAGATGTGAATGCGCCAATGTCAGTAGGAGTAGAAGCAATGGCAGATGTTACAGAAAGATGCAGAGCAACCTTTGCTGGATCTTTAAGCGTTCCAATGCTGTCAGAGTCCTGCTCTGATGTGTTAGTCAAACTTGCTTCGCTGGTGGTTGATGCCTCTTCCCCAGCATGCTCCAAGCTCCCATCAACCAGATTAAAGTCCTCTTCTGCCGCGTCTGACTCATAGGAAGAAGGTGCACCCAAATCCAATCTACTCCCCACACCATGCAAATCCCCATCATGCAACAACACAAGGGAAGGATCAAGCTCAACTGTTTCTACAGAATCAAAACTTTCAGGAGCAGGCAAGTCAGTGATTGTTGGATTAGTAGTGCCAGATGGTGTTGAAACTAAATCATGCTCCATTCTAGTATCTCTACGTCTACGATGAGTAGGATTTGAGCCAGATTCGGATTGCAAAGAGGCTACATTATTTTTACCTCCAGGTGTCGTGGCTGGCCTTGATCGATTGCTTGCGGACCGATTAAGAGATACTTCCGTAGTGGCCACTTTAGGGGATTCCACATTCTCATTCACATGAACTGTGCATGGATTGGCACTCGGATGAGACCAATACAGGAGGTTGGCTGCTGTACAGAATACAAAAAGTTAATCAAACATTGTACAGGGTAAGGAAAATAAAAATTGTCCTAACTTTGATGAAATGAAATGATTGAAGCTCTTATCAGTCTCGTAGCACTGACCTGACATGTACGTAATTGTTGCTGTCAGTACAATTGTAAGGGCAATAAAACATATTGCTGTGCATTTCCAAGAACATCTTGCAGCCAACCCTTTCCGAAAATGAAGGCGGGGTTGTGCAAAATGTCCTGAGTTTGGTCTCCTTAAATTGTTACGGACAGGTAAAACAGGCACTGCAGCTCCAAATGGTAAGGTACCCCTGAACCAAAAGTAAAAACAGAGCAAGTAAATACAAACTCCAACCAGTTCAAAAAAAGTTTAACCGTACAAAAATCTTTACCTTTCTGATTTTTTCAAATTTTCTCCTTTTGATGGGCTACTGCATGAAGAATTTGACTTGTAGTCCAGCTGTGAATTCTTGGAAATATCTAAAAGCGGGCAAAGAAAAGAGACAGACAGTAAGTCGAGATAAGTCCTTCGTTGCGGAGACACATAACGGAGTAGACGTACCTGTGGGTATGTAGACGTTGCCCGACGGGGTGCGCACCAGACAGGACGGCTCGAAGTCGCCGTCGGGGTCCTGGCCCGCCACGCCGAGGTTGGCGAGGTTGGCCATGTTGGGCAGCGTGCCGTGGCCGTGCGCGTTGTGCGCGTGGTGGCCGTGGCCGTGGCCGTGGCCGCCGAGGGTGTTGTGGCCCTGCGAGCCCATGGGCGGCAGCGTGTTCCCCAGGTGGCCGCCGCCGCGTCCGTTCATGCGGTTCATGACCACGTTCCGCGGCGGCACGTCCGGAGGGGCTCCGTCCAGGAGGCAGCCTGCAACACGAGAGGAGAGGGGCGTAAAGGGTTTGTCTTTCGGGCTGTCAAGCCGCCTGCCCTCGCCGACTCGCCGCAGACGGGAGGGGGAGGGGAGGGGGAGGGGGAGGGGGAGGGGGAGGGGAGGGGAGGGGAGGGGGGGGAGGGGGAGGGGCCGCTGACTTGGCTTTTGGCCTCTCCAGCCAAACTCCGAAACGGGGAGCGGGGCGCAATCAAGGCGCCGCGCTCTGGAAAGATACAGAAGCCCAAGCCAAGGTGCGCCGCGCGCCGCGCACTCTGAACAGCGCTTTGTCGCTCTGTCTCTCTCGCACTCGGCGGGACGCCCCCACGAATGCGAGAGAGACAGAGCGACGAAAGTACTGTTCGGAATCAGCCCGGAGCCTCACGGGCACCGCTGACTTTGAGGGTGACATTTGCACAGCCGTCGGCTCGAGCCGGCGCGCGGTGCCTATAGCCCCGCCTGGCAGACACGAAACGACTTTTACTTGGGACGATGAATCGACAAGGAGAGTCTGTCGGATTGACTTTCAAATCGCGCGCCGTTTGGGGAGCCGCCGCGCCTCAGCGCCGACCAGAGAGACGGAGGAGCGGCGACGGGCACTTCAGCACCGAGAGAGAAATAGGAGCAATCCGTCCATCGGCGCCCCTCGCCCCGCAACCCGCGTTACCCGGCCCGGCACTACCGCACTGCCAAAGCGCCTTTCGACGGCGTTCGCGGCGGCGGGCCTCGACGACGGCAAGCTTGGTGGCAAGTGGCGGGGCCGACGGGCCAACGGAGAGGGAAGCACCTTAGGTTCGATTTTCGGTCCGACTGATGGCGGCCCCCGGGTCACCCTAGCTGAGCCCGAGGAAGAAGCCACTCAGGGGCCAGGGGGGCTGCTTGGGCCCGGTAATAGGTCCGCGCAAGCCCGCACAGTGGGCCAGAAGACCGGTGGAGGCGGCCAAAACTCCAGACGCGTTCTGAGCTCCAGAGTCGCTAAATGGGACTCGAACCGAACGTGTGACCCCACCAATGGATTCCTCGTTCGGAGAGCAATCCATTGAAGGGGTCACACGTTCGGGTCGGGTCCCACTTAGCGACTCTGGAGCTCAAAACGCGTCTAGAGTTTTGGCCGCCTCCACCCGTCTTCTGGCCCACTGTGGCCCGCCAGACCCACCAGGCCCGCCCCACGCCCCACGCGCTGCGCGTCGCTGCGTGGCGTGGGTTCGAGGACCGGCACCGCGTCCCGCCGCCTTTCGCCCCTTTCGCCTTTAGCACCTCATGCACTTCCCGCACTTCCCGCTTGGCCTCACGGCTCGGCGAGATGGGCGCGCGGCCCGAGGTGCGGCACTGTGTGCGGCAGGGCAGCCCTCAGGGCTCCAGGCTGCGGCGGGCCGTCGTCGCCGCCCAGTCGCCGCCCACAGCACCTCCCTCTCTAGAAGTTGGCCGCGCCACGCAACTTTCTGCTGCCCTCTCGAGAGCAAGCGAAGCAAGCGTGCCGTTTTCTTTAAACACTGCCGCGGGGCGATGGTATCGCGCACCGCATCGGCACTTAATGAAACGAAAACCCTTTCGGGAGGAAGGAACACGGCGGCCTCGCCGCCTCGCGCAAAGAATAAAGTAAGACAATAACGAAAAGCGCGGCCCGGCCGCTATCATCGCGCCGCCCCAACCCTTTCATCCGGGCCGCACTTTTAACTCGCCTCCGTCTCCCCGCCGCGGCGCCGCGGCTTGACTCGCGGAGATGCAAAAGTAGAGATTGCGCCCACACGCGAAAAAGGCGCGGCGGGCGAAATGAGCGAGTGCCGCCGGCGTGCGGCCCGCGGACGCCGCCGGGAGATGAAAGTTGGGTTGCGTCACCACGACAAAGTGCGGCGCCGTGGCCGCCAGACTTGGTGCAGCACCTGAAGCACGCGAAGCACGTGCAGCCGGGCGACTGCGCCACTGCCATGGCCACTGCCATGGCCACTGCCGCCACAACGGCTTCCACGATGTCTGCGCCGCGACCGCGGTGCGCCTTGTGCGCCCGCAGACGCGAATGAGAGCGCGCTCAAGGCGTCTCACGGGGGAGGACGCCAGCATCCCCGCCCCGCCCCGCCCTCGTCGGGGGCGGCAGGGGCGGCAGATACTACAGGCGGCGGGCCGCGCCGGTTGGTTAGGCAAGGCACTTGCCATCCCGTTTCCAAGCAGGCTCAGTCGGGAAAAGTGCAATTAGGCGATCAGGCCGAGCAGGCCGGGCGGAAGAAGCATTCCGCACCGACCTCTGGGATAAAGTCCAGGGACGAGAGGGAAAACAGGGGGTGGGTAAGTTTTTCTCGGCGAGGGATGATAAAAAAATACTGCAAACTTCGAGGCGAGTGCGTGCGCGGCCGTCAATAAATTACGCCGTGTTAATTAGGAGATGGCGCACTTGCTGTTCATGGTACACACAAGTCTGGAAAAGTTTGGGGCGGCGCGAGGCATTCCAGCGAGGCGTTCCAGCGAGGCGTTCCAGCGAGGCGTTCCCGCCAAGGCGTTCCGGCGAGGCGTTCCCGCCAAGGCGTTCCGGCGAGGCGTTCCAGCCAAGGCGTTCCGGCGAGGCGTTCCAGCGAGGCGTTCCAGCGAGGCGTTCCCGCCAAGGCGTTCCGGCGAGGCGTTCCGCGAGGCGTTCCACGGCGTTCCAGTGCGAGCTCTAGAGGTAGCACGGCAGCGCGCGGCGAAGAACATACAATCCGAGGCGCCAGCCGCCACCATTTTGTAAACACGCAAACGCGTTCGCCTCGTTATCGCGACGAAGCGAAACTTTGGCCGCGGCTGGCGGCACGGCAGGCGCGGCACAGTGGGCCAGAAGACCGGTGGAGGCGGCCAAAACTCTTAGACGCGTTTTGAGCTCCAGAGTCGCTAAACAGGTCTCGAACCGAGCGTGTGACCCCACCAATAGATTCCCCGTTCGGAGAGCAATCCATTGGTGGGGTCACACGTTCGGTTCGAGCCCCATTTGGCGACTCTAGAGCTGAAAACGCGTTTAGAGTTTTGTCCGCCTCCGCCGGTCTTCTGGCCCACTGTGCGCGGCGTGGCAGGCCGTCGCTAACGCGATTGGTTTCCACCTGCTGGAGGCGTGCTGGAGGCGTGCGGGAAGCGTGCGGGAAGCGTGCTGGAAGTCCCCGACCGCCGCGGCCACACCGCCCGCCCCGCGCCGCCCCAACTTCTCGGGGGCACCGAGCAAACGGGACCGAATCAAATCCAATCGAACTCCTCCACGCAGCAGCGCAGTGTAGTCCCGCGCGTCGCTGCCGAGTGACACGCCAAGACCAGTTCAGGCGGACACCCCTGGCGGCTCTGCGCGGTGCTCATGCACGGGACTCGAAGCATCGATGCCATCGTGTGTTCGAAAGAAGAGACACTTGTGCAAATCTTCTCTGGATGCTAGAAACCTGTCTGAAAACCGGATCAAAATTAGCGCACCTCTGAAAGCGGAAAACTTATTCTGACATTCTGTAGAACTCAGGCCATTAATCATAGTGCGTTTTCAGAATTTCTGCTATTAAAGGTGCACGAATTTTGATCAGGATTTCTGAAATGTTTCTGGCATTCTGACAAAATTTGCACGAGTGCGAGCTCAAATCATCGCGACCAGAGTTGAGTCCGCCTCACACCTAGCAGCGCGACAAGCTGCGTGCGCTCACTGAAAAACCAAACGTGGTCCAGACCGCACCATTGGTGTGGTCAGATGGATGCCATTTTGACCGCATCAGTTGGTGTGGTCTAGACCACGTTTGGCCACGTTTGGTGTGGTCTAGACCGCACCAAACGCCCCAAACGTGGTCTAGACCACACCAACTGATGCGGTCAAAATGGCATTCCTTTGACCACACCAGTTGATGCGGTCTGGACCACGTTTGGTTTTTCAGTGCTTTGGGGTTGCCCGCTATCTTTGGCTGGGTACAAGGTACCCCTCTGCGAAGGGGGTGGGGAGAGAACTGGCTGTCCACTGGGCCATCACGCCCCACCGGCCCCACCGGCCACACCGGGCACTGTGGGGCTGCGCCGGGCTGCGCCGGGCTGCGAGCCAATTGAGCACACCAATTTGCTTTGAGGTGCAGCGTGTGGTGCACTGCACGGCCGCGAACGACCCACAGTGGGCCAGAAGACCGGTGGAGGCGGACAAAACTCTAGGCGCGTTTTCAGCTCCAGAATCGCTAAACGGGACTTGAATCTAACGTGTAACTCCACAAATGGATTGCTCTCCGAACGAGGAATCCATTGGTGGGGTCACACGTTCGGTTCGAGCCCCATTTAGCGACCCTAGAGCTGAAAACGCGTTTAGAGTTTTGTCCGCCTCCGCCGGTCTTCTGGCCCACTGTGCGACCGTGACGCGCCGCGTTGCCGTTTTCCAGGCGTCAGCAGCCAGCACACTACAAACCTAACTGTCTACTAAGATCCTAAGAGTAAAGCGTCTTGGCCAACCTCCACATAGCATGCGCCGTCAACCCCGTCAACCCCGTCCGTCGGCCGCTCCATTTGCCACACGCGTCCGCGACGTCGGCACAACAAACAAGGTCATCATCATCATCGTCATCATCATCTTGTTCCAGTCCAGGTCGCTCAATTCACGTCGGCCGCGCCAGTCAAGCACGCTATGCTCCGCTATGCTCGCTGCTGTGCTTTGCGGAAGAAAAACACCTCGCTCGCGCGCGCTTGTGTGTTCGACGTAGAGAGCGAGAGAGAGAGAGAGGGAGAGAGAGAGAGAGAGAGAGAGAGAGAGAGAGAGAGAGAGAGGGGGGAGGGAGAGAGAGAGAGAGAGAGAGAGAGAGAGGGAGAGAGAGAGAGAGAGAGAGAGGGGGGGGGGGGAGGGAGAGAGAGAGAGAGAGAGAGAGAGAGAGGGATATGAAAAAGGGGGGGCGAGGGGTCGGACTGGCCGAGGCACCATGATTTATCATCAAGCCGCTGTTCGCGATTCTACGGAGAACAATTTCTGGTACAGTAGCCAGGGCCGCGGCCCCAAGGCAGGGCGGCGCAGCGCGGCGGCGTCACTCACTCGTA